AATACTTAATACATGTTTGGTGCTTTTGAGCTCAATTATCATCTTCTGCCAGTAATATTAGTATAAAGAATACTCTTTTTATTTACAGTCACATTACCTTAAGAATGCATGATGTTTATACTATCTATATTCCATTCCCTTTTCTGTGGTCACTGAAAAACAAATCGGAACCTGTTGAGATTTACAAAATGGTTTCCTGTTATGGGTTTATATGAAGTTCAAACTCCACTGACTGATAGTATCTGAAAACTTTACCTATAACAAATTTTACTGATTTATGTATGAAAAAAAAAAAAAATAGTGAAATTTTAGTTCAGTGAAAGTGGGAAAGAAAGTGCATGATATCAAAATTATATCAATCTATAAATTTTTCATTTGCAGGGTCAATTAAATATTGTATTCTTATAAGCTAAAATACTGTTTTATTTTTCGATCATCCGTGTAATTACGAGTATATGATTCCGCGATCTTAGGAATAGGAATTCCTCGTAGAAGTGAAAATTTCTTCCTTCAAGCGAAATTTGTTAAAAAATTTAATTTTAACTTTTATAAGTCCAATTTTTTTAACACAGAAATTTTGATCAATCAGACTTTCTTCGAATGAAGATGGCATTATTTTCTTTGCATTCCTTTCTCTAAATATAAGTCCTCCAAACGACAGAATTTAAGCTTCCAACCTCCTTTTGCAGAATTCTTAAATGTGTAATAAAGTGCATTCCTAGGGTCGTCTGGATTAGTTAATCCACCCTCCTCCCAAACAAGGTGCGGGCAACACTTGCGTTTATGAGTATTTAAAAATAAATTTAAGATTTTTTTCTTTATTTCAGGTATGCAAAAGGTATTTTTATATGAGATTAGGCGAAACTGTGTTAGTTCATATTTTGTGTTTTTCCCTGCATTTTAATACATCTAAAGTATTTTATTTCAAAAATAACAAAAAATAATAATGCCTCTAATTTTTTTTGTTACAATAAGTAATGTCTTTAAAATTTTATTTTTGTTACAGAGTTTACATTAATACTCTAACTTAATACTAAGTTTATTAATTTTCATACTCACTTGTAAGAAGAGATACGAAGTTTAATTCTTCAACAGAAGAATCTTTTTCTTGTCACTACCTATTCATGTAGTATTGTTCTGACTGTAATATCGATTAAAAACTGATGATCTTGGTTTTAATCACCTTTTAAGTTTTCCAGCGTAGCGAAATAAATTTTATAGTTGAGGTAAGCTGTAAATTCTGCGTTACGTTTTTACTTTTATATTTATATATTTATTACATTGCATCCTAAACATTTAGAAATGAATTTTCCCAAAAGTATTGTTAGTTCTAATTTTGTCTAGTATTTGAAATTTTCACCCCCTTCTTTCAGTTTCGGCTTATTTTATTCGACTCCATCTACACATACTTTTTGGCTAGACGTATGTATACATGTATATGTATCTAGCAGGAAAACCAAACCAGAATTAACATTAGGATAAGATGAATAATGAGAAATGGAGAATTGAAGTTAATTTAGCTGATTTTCTCTTATAATCGGAAAAGATTAATAAAACCTCAGTGTAAAGAAATAAAAAGTCAAGTTTTTATTCTGCACGGACCTGTGAAGTAATACTTATTTTCGATTTTCTAATTATTATATAACTATTTTATGTATTTATGCGTACAAGAACAAATGATAGAAGTAGGGAATACATCTTAGGAAACAGACTAGAAAATTGAATTAAAGTTATTTGTAGCCTGTGGACAAAAGAACTAATAAGCATCACAGCCACGCATAGTAATTAGTGTCTCTGATTGTCATATCGAAGGGCCCGCAAGCCGGAGAAGGCTTGAGTTTTTGTGAAAGCATGATGAACCTCAAGTCCTCTCGTGTGGTTTGGTGGTAGAGAAAAATTATGGGAGACCTTCGGACCAAACTTTGGGGAGCTCTTCCCGCAAAACTGGAGTGGAAGGTAAAAGTCAGGCTCTGGCAACCAATCTTCTATGAAATACGGACTCGAAAACAACACTGATGAGCATTTAAACGCGCTATACACTTTTAAAAGTAATTCATTTAACTTGATTTTTAACTGTTTAATTTATCTTGGTGTCATTATCTCTATGTTTGTTAAAAGTTATACCTCTCATAAACAATGCAAATAAAAGAAAAAGATTGCAATACGCATTTTCATGTATTGAAAATAAATAATTAACAGGTAGCTTATAAAGTCCATATATAACATCACATGCATCATAGTACGATAACGAAATACTATATAAATATAGCTACAATAATTATTACCGTAAGGAACTTTTAATATAGGTTGCCTCTACTACATTTCAGTACGTTTTAGTAAACATATATTAAGGTAAAGCGAAAAGCAACTACACTACCATTAGCTATTAAATTATAGTTACTACTGTTATTAAGTTAGATCCTTATTTTATGGTATCGTCTATTTCACACAGTATAGTATACTGACTTAACGTATGCCTTTCATTGTTACTCACAGAAGTCACATTTAAAAAGAAATCGCCAGTCTACTCAAATTTTAACAGCTTAATCAATAAATCTTAGCACAATACAATTCTTCCGTACGGTAGTTTTTACGGTTATGTAACTACTTTGTTGCATTTAAAATTTATAATAAGTGTGCAATGATCTCGTTTATTTACTTGCTTATTTGATTACGTTAAAACACTCGAGGACTCTTGGCTTTGAAGGTTTGGTTTTTAGTTATTATGGCAAAGCACTCCAGGGCTCTCTGTCTCAGGAGAGGAATGCCTTCTTGAAGGACTTTCTAAGGGAAACTGGCTAGTATACACATTACCCATAGAGGAGTCCGTGCAGCCAGCTCGTTTGTCGGGACTCGAACCCCGGACCGAACTACTAGTGTTCTGCGACTTTATCGTTCGACCGGAGGTGGGCTTGGAACACTTTAGGGTATATACTCCAAATGCGCATGCAGTTGCTTATTACCACATCGATACAGTTGTATTTGCAAAATGCGGTCAAAATTTGCGATTTAATTACGTATATGAGCCAAAGTAACGTAAATTCTCTTTGAACGCAAACTTTAAGGCTTATTATGCATATACATTCAACCGTTTATGATTTAGTTGTTTTTTAATCTCTCAGCTTCTTAAGCAGAAACAGATTGATTCAGTTGGAAACGTAAAATAAAGAGAGTGCTTTGCCACATTGAGAACTGACTATTTGCAAGATAAATGAACGGTCGAATGTTTCTGTAATGCCATTCTTGTAACGTATTCTTGACTTTCATTTTATCTCTCATTTCAGGTCTAAAGTTTATTAAATTTTGCTATTTGATAATTTAATATTTTATCTTGACTGATTTATTATTTGCTACTACAATCTAAGTCTAATCACGATGTAACATAATATAATTATGCATAGATACAAAAGGAAAGCTAACACTTTACATATTAATATCTAAATGTTCTCAGAAAGTGACAACAAATAATATTTAGTTTATAAGCATATTTAAGTAATATTTCTTTCTAATTTCGCATTTTTGAATTAGAGATAAATTACTTAATTCGCATTTACATGTTTATAAATTATCAAATTATATTCAAATAAATAAAATGATGTAACGACATAATTAAGGATTTTGACATTATGCGTAGATTCCATAATGAACTGTACAGTTTTTTACATTTTTTCCTTCTTTTCCTCACTGTTTCATTGGAAACCTATAAATCGTATCAAAAACATTCTTGTATATTTAATTTTGTATATTATATGTAACAGATTTCTGTTTGTCCTAAGAGCTATTAATAAAGCTACTGAAGCAAATATGACAAAAATAAGTTATTTTTTTTATATTTCAAATTTATTTGATTTAATTTTACAATGCACCTAAAACTTGCTATTGAGAATTATATACTGCTAATATACTCATACCATAAAACGACACTGTATTTAATCCCTGATATAAGCAGAAGAAGTTATAAATATCTCTCAACGTAAAACCGGAGAAAGCAAATGAAATGAATAAATTCTAAACAAAGCAAAAGATGAGAAGACAGGGTGCTGTATTACTAAGATTTTAACCGACTATTAAAAAAAAAATACTGTTAAAACATAGCAGCTAGCCTGCTAATTGAAAAGTTTCTTTTTCCTGTTTCCCCCCCCCCAAAAAAAAAGAGTAACTGAAATTTCAAACAAAGGAGAAGAAAACACTTACGATGCAATAAATAAAATTTTAATAAAAAAAATTGTTTCAATTATTTCATCAGTTATGTTTAAGTATATAAGTGCTATCTGCTTAAAAGATGCCTTGTGGAGTACCTTTTTAATAGGAACTGGCTCGTACTTTTCTTACATGTGACGAAAGCCCATGAAAATACTCGTGCAATCATCTTGTTCTACTTGTCGGCTTTGTCAAAAATAGTTAATTTCTGGGCCCTCAAATAGCGGAGGGGATAAGATCACTGTGAATTACTAGTTAGACCCCGTTCGAATCCTGGATAATGGGCTAGCAACACGGGACTTCGTCTTGAATCTAGGCAATAATTAGGCTCTGGTGATTTGGCCTGTTTTGCTTATAGTTTGGACCACTAGACCAAGCCAATAGGACCCGTAATGGGAGATTTCAAAGACTAAAGAAGAGAAGGAAAAGTAGCAGACAAATTTCATAACCTTTCTCGAACTGAAGGGAATTGTAAACACTGAGAATTCTTTCCTTCACGTCAGATATTCAACGAAAAATTTTATTTTGGTAGTTTAAAGCAGTTGAGAGAGAACTTTTGTAGCAAAAATTCTCACCTATGACGCAACGGAAGCTTAATGCTTCATAACGACAAGACACTAAACCACAGTTCTCTGAAGATTCAACATATACTGCTGCTTAAAAAAATAATCGTCAAAGGGTAAACGCAGAATAAAACAAAAAATTTTTAATGGATATGCGTGAAATTAATCCAAGAGGCTGGTGTGGCAATACTAGACCACACAGGAAACAATAAAGACATACGAAAGCACATGCATTACGACCTTCACATCGCAAAAGATCAAATGAGTAGGAAGAATATGCAGTGGAAATATCAAGATAATGACAGGTATGATACACTCTAGCTGAACTGGATGCTTGACACTGGCGAGGCAAGCTGGCAATTGTGTCGTTGATCGCTTTTTGTGGTAATAATGCCCAATCCTGTACTAATGCATGCCGGAACTCGTGGAAGGTGCCTTTCCGCATACTACGATCTGCTATCCGTCGGTCCAACATGTCTCACATGCTCTACGGGAATCAGGTCCGGTGATCTAGCAGGCCAAGATAGACGTGGAAAAGTTCCACTCTCCAGATAATTCCTCACAAACTGAGCTCTATGCGGTCGGGCGTTGTCGTCCATAAATATCTATTCGGTTCCCATTGTAGTGATAAAAGGACGCACAAGAGAATGTAAAATTTCTTTGCGATATCAGTGGGCTTGTGACTGAACCACCAGGAATCACGTAAAAGTCGGTGCAGCCGTTCGTTGTTATCACAGCCCACACAACAATAAAGAGCAAAATTAAGTCTGAATCCTATACATGATTCTGTTTCTTTATATCTTTTACTATCGATATAGGAAAAGCATTATTCAATAGCATCTGTTTATATCAGTAGTACGTTAAGTTCAAACAATTAACTTTTGTTAGTGCCTAGAATGCAATTTAATAAATTTTAAGCCTTTTGGTTCATAGAATTTACATGTTTGATAGAATTAGATAAGTGTTATTACTTCATAGTTTAATATAAGAATACAAAGGAAAATGTGCAATAGTGACTGTCAAGAATGATTCTGATGCAAATAAAGCGGTTTCTATGTAAGATTTGATTTGACTTCTAACATTATTTTTAACTACCATAACAATAATTAGTTTACTCATTTTGTCCTGTTGGCTCACCCCATTTGTAAAATATACCCATTCTTTCTGAAGAGTGAAATTTTGCTTAAAGCTGTGATGTATTTAATTATGGCAAAGCACACGAGGGCTATCTGCCTAAGGGGAGGGATGCCTTCGTGGAGGACTTTCTAAGATTTTTTTTTTTTTTTCTTAAAGAGAAAAGTATGCAGAGAGAAGAAAAACTGCGCTAGAAAGTTGGACTTGCTTAATCGTTATTGCTTCATCGTTAAAAATGTTAACCGTGTGCCTTTCGGCTATCATATTTTGAATAAAATCAGGAAGTGAGCTTGTAAAGTTCTAGCATGTTAATCTGATTTATTATGACTTTGATCTTACTTAGATTGAATCGGTATACGAATGAGAAGAAATGTAAATACTTTTCTGTCTTTTTATTATGAAAGACGCAATGGGAGGGATGACAGAAAGCGTTTTTCAGTGCCTAACCGCTTAACGTAAAACTATGCTTTCTGTGATAAAAGTTGTTTCCTGCAGTGTAATTTATCAACTTTTAAAGTTTGTTCCACTGTTTTCAAAACTCTCTGTATATGATGGTGTAGGCTTACAATGAGAATTTATTTACGAATTTCTCTTTGCAATTCTGATTAAAATATCTGTCAGAACAAACAAAATTGTTAACAATCTAAACTCTAATAAAACACTAAAATTCAGTAAATTTTGTCAGAGATTCCATAAAAGCTTCATTTTGAGAATTATTTGCCACAAATAATTATTTTGCGATGATGAGTTTGACTGTTAAACAATAATACGTGTTAAATATTCGTCAAAAATCGCTTTAATATTAAATTTAAAAGTTATACGAAATTTTTAAAAATTGCTGGGAAATATCGCATTGTCACTGAAAATATGTAAGTGTGCAAAATTTAAAAACTAATGGCTCAGTTATTGGTGGTTGAGAATTATTTCAATACCTTAAATAAACAAATACTGACACCGATCTAAACACTATCATGTAAAAAAAGTAAAAGTAACATCTTAAAAGTAAAAAGTATGAACTAATGCCCTACCCCTCAAAAAATATATCTATGCATACAAAAACGTTTTAATAATGCAATGAATTTATTTAACAGGGTCAAACCATATGGACATACAATGCCATCTTGTGGCACTGTATGTATAATATGTATTAAGCATTAATAAAAATTATTTGTAACAAACAGAGCTGTTTTTAATAATAATGATCGGTATATGACTAGCAGAAATACATAGCTACAGATCTTATGATTTATTCGTATTTTCTCCCTCCTATCTGCATATGCCTTCGTGGTTGTAACTGGAATCATACTCGGCGAGTATTCGAGAGGTCCAGGTTCGAGTCCCAGCGAGAGCATTCCTTATTTTTCGTGTTTTTTTTTTTTTTTTTTTTTCTTCAAAAGTCCTAATAACTCTACACTTAGACTGAAGAACATAAGCGTTAGAGGGAATTGTAGGTGTGGCTATTTTAGAAAAGGTTGAGAAAAATTTAGAGTTAGCGACGAATAACAAATGCAAATATTGGAATTTTAAAGGTTTTAAAAGAAAATAAAAATAAATAAGACCTGTGACAGTAGCTAGCTTTAGAAAGAATTCTAAACTTTACTGTTTTAAAAAATTAAGATGATTTAATTATCAGCGAATGTTAAATGCAGTATGAGATAGTCTATACTGCCAGATCATCTTTCGCTCTTATAAGCAACTTCACAGCCTTGCGAATTGTCACTTTGTTGATTGCATGCAATTTGTAATTTATTTTTGTGATAAAATTATTACTTATAGCAAAGTGAGAGCTTTCTCTATGACTTAAAGCTCAACCTTTTAATTGCAACGAATAAATAAATGATATTTATAAATATTTTTTGATTGGTATTTACATTTAATGAGAAAGGCATTGACTTTAAATTAATAAACATTACACTTCTATAATTTCCAAAATACATTAGATTTTCTGATTAAAAATTGTAACTCCGAATGGGAACTGGCATTATTAGCATCCTTAACGTCATATAACAACGCCTTCAAAAAACAAACAAAACAAAAAAAAAAAAAAAAAAAAAAGAAAGAAAAAAGAAAGAAAGAAAGAAAAACTACAGAATTTTTAGCGTAAAAAAAAAAAAAAAAAAAAAAAAAAAAAAAAAAAAACACTATTATGAACTTTTCAGAATTTACCATTGTTTCCTAAATTGGTAATCTTAAAATAGGAAACAAACTTTTTCATTAGATGATAAAAACAATTAAAAGACTAGTAATAATAGGCAAATGATAGTTCAAATACATATTCCTTTATTTGGAAGCCTTTTCTGATCTAGCTTCACAAAACTTGTTGGCGATGGAATTCGAAAATGGGACGATAAAACGCCTAACAGAATGACCTGCCCTGTAGGCAATTCTGCTAATATGGAATTTTACGCCATGCTACGTTCGCCGAGATGAAGGGATTAAAGGGGGAGAAGGGAGGGTGGTGGTGGGGATTAAACTCCACAAGAACCGAACGAGTCAGGCGAATTGGTTGGTGGCTTTTCCGCCACTTGACTTCGTTCGATTTGGGATTTACATTATACCCCGTAATCTATGCCTCACTGAGGTTGTTGAAGCAGGTAAAAGCTACTAAGAGTGGTCTTCTTTCAGTTGTTGGCAATTAAGTGTAAATAAAATGTTAAACTAGTTAATGAAGTAATGTAATTCGGTACATTATGAGATTATAATTGGGAGAAATCTGGTGTAAAATTTTGAATGCATTCGGCACAATACTGGCGACATGTTTTATGAATTCAAAGGAAAACTATGTAAATTGTTAAATGATATTAATCATGATGAGGCTTATTTAATTGTTTGCTCTTTCAACGTTAAGGATAAATAAGATGAGGAGATTTTTTTTTCTTTTGATAATGATCACCACATAAATCATTTACATCTAGGGGAAGAGAGACGATTGCTATATTCTGCAGTTTCCTTTGACAAATAAATTTGCAACACTTAAATGCAGTTCCTTGGCTTGTTAGCTACATTCATCCAATGGGAAGAAGTCCCTTCGTACAGGAAATGTTTAAGGAAGGGCGGCGGCTCTTATAATTTTTAAACTTAGGAAGGATTAAGACATCCAGATGAGACATCTCTTATGTTTGAAAGTAAGGGAAACGCAGATTATTCATCTCGGTTTCATTCGGTTTCACTGTTGAAACCCTCGTAACGTTAACTAGACTCAAACACTCTTAAAGGTTTTATTCACCGTTACTGCTACGATAGATGTGAATGGATATAATGGTGGCTGGAGTCGGGCTGTGAGGGCATCCGCCTGGAGTGCTGAAAACAAATATACCATAAAATTTATTTAGATAAACTGATTGTCTTGTGTTAATGTTATATTAAAAGGGGTCAGAATGACCATTTTCTAAGGTGCGGTAATGTTTTCGTCGAGTAGTGATTAGGTACTATCACCATTAATGTAGTCTAACTCATTCCTTCAAGACATTCATCAATTAAGATAGCAGAATGTTTTTCTTTTTTCCTTTTTTAGCCCAAGGGGTATTAGTCTGGAAGAGCTATTAATTTCGTTTTGGCATTTTGCGTTTATTCACTATAAATGTCGGTTCACTTTTCAAATTGTTCCCACCAAATATTAGAGCCCTGTATTATAATTAAATAAATTAAATAATGAAGAATCTGCATAAATATATGTTTCTCGCATTGTGATAAAACAACAGTACCCAGAGCCATCAAATTTTGAATAACGTACGTTTCTACTCGAAATGGGCATCTGGAGGTGCAAATTTAGAATTTGGAATTTGTTTTATTATTTATGTCATATTTTGTAAAACATTAACGAATTTTTTATTAACAAACTCAACGATTTCAAAGCGAACAATGGCAACACTGTACCGAAAAAAAAAATTATCTACAGCGCGCGAGACTTTCTATCGGAAATTCTAAAAAGGTATGCGCATTTTAAAATTATTTTCCGACATTGTTGTTGAATTGAATTTTATGGGTTAAGTGACAAGAACATGGTATTTAATAAATAAAAGTAATACACAAAACGTTAAAAAAACGCCCCTTTGGGAGTTATGTAAAATCTGAAAGCTTTCACATTTTTTAATTACCTCAATTCGTTTAGCAGTTTAAACACTGAAATTTTAAATAAATTATACACCTGATATAGTACAGTTTATAATTAAGTGGGGCAATACTTACCCACTTCATTCAATAATGGATATCGGTTCACTTCATTGCTAATGAGTAATTTTGCGGATTATCCGTCCATGGAAAAGGAATATTATTACTAATATTAATATTATTACTAATATTATTACTAATATTATTATTAATATTATTACTTGAAAAGAA